CCATCGACACATTTTCGCTACGGACATCACCAAGATGTACAGGCAGATCAAAATTCACAAGGATGACTGGGAGTTGCAACGGATACTCTGGATGGACGATCAACTCAATGAAGTGCCATATCATCTGACAACAGTCACCTACGGGACAAAGGCCGCGCCGTTCTTGGCCGTACGGACGCTACTACAACTAGCAGAGGACGAAGGACATAAGTATCCACTGGCTGTGCCATCCATCACTCATGGCAGGTATGTCGATGACATATTTGGTGGTGCAGATACAATTCAACAATTGCAGGAGGTCGCACGTCAACTAAAGGGCCTCTGCATGGCGGGCGGCTTCCCACTAGCAAAATGGCATGCAACTCATCTCGACATACTCAAGACTGTCACCGACAGCGAAGACCAAGGCTTACCAATCACATTCGACGATTGCGCAACCAAGATACTCGGACTCAAATGGCTCCCTCAAGAAGACACATTTGCATTCTCAACGAGAAGCTCACGCAAGGAAGGCAGGCTCACAAAACGCCTCGTATTATCTGAAGTGGCTCAGATATTCGATCCACTTGGCTTTGCATCACCCGTCGTGATCAAGGCCAAAATTCTCTTGCAGGAGCTGTGGCTGCACAAGCTCCAATGGGATGATCCACTGCCATCCCAGCTCTCAACCCGGTGGCTCTCCATCAGAGAAGAACTCACAAGTCTGGCCAGACTCTCAATACCTCGGTGGCTCAAAACATGGAGCGACTCGCAAGTGGAACTTCATGGATTCTCTGATGCTTCTCAATTGGCAATGGCTGCAGTCATATACATATCCGTTCACGACTCAAACGGCGCCACGTTCTCACTTGTATGCTCCAAAACTAAGGTAGCACCTCTCAAGCGGCTCTCAATCCCGCGACTTGAACTCACGGCTGCTCTTCTGCTCTCTCGGCTCATGCAATACGTCACAGCCACTTTGAACATGGACGTTACGGCAACGCATATGTGGACGGACTCTCTAGTGACACTCTCGTGGATCAGATCTCATGCATCACGCTGGAAGGATTTCGTCAGGAACAGGGTGGCTCAAATTCAAGAACTCACTCCAGCTGCTCACTGGAGATACATACCTGGAACTTCTAATCCGGCTGACTGCGCATCACGAGGCCTCACGACTGCTCAGCTTCAAAACCACGCACTTTGGTGGACGGGACCACCATGGATACACAAATCAGACTCATGGCCGTCGCAACCTGCACTCTCTGACGAGATGAGTGCAATAGAAGCTCGCCCAGGCGTTTCGCTATTGACGGTTACGCCGAGGACTGAATATCAATGGGAACTCATCTACAGGTACTCAAGCCTCACTAAACTATTGAGGATTACAGCTCTCTGTTTCAGATTCGTCTCACGGTTGAGGAAAGTCCACGACTCATTTCCTGTCAGACGCATCTCTCCAGAGACCTTGGAGACAGCGAGGCTCTTCTGGATTCAGGCAACTCAAGCAACGTACTTCTCGCACGAGCTCAAGGCATTACAGGCAGACTCACCATTGGCAAAGGCGCACGCATTCAACAGATTGACTGCGTACATCGACGCTCAAGGAGTCATTCGCGTCGGCGGACGACTCGCTCACGCAGCTCTCTCATTCGACGCGATACATTCTGTGATATTGCCTCGTCACTCTCAGCTGTCGTCATTGGTCATCGCTCACGCTCATCAACGGACTCTACATGGAGGCACGCAGCTCACGCTGTCACACATCCGACAACGATACTGGATTCTCGGCGGGAGGGCTCCTGTCAAGTCTCACATCCTGCGGTGTGTTACGTGTGCTCGGCAGAGGGGGATCCGTGCTCATCAATTGATGGGCCAACTACCTCTCTCTCGAGTTACGCAGGCACGACCGTTCACTCATACAGGTGTGGACTACGCAGGGCCGCTCACCGTAAAAACATGGAAAGGAAGAGGTGCCAAAACGAGTAAAGGCTGGATTTGCGTTTTTGTCTGCTTCTCAACCTCAGCAGTACACCTCGAGGCGGTCAGTGACTACTCAACGGAGGGATTCATTGCCGCCTATCGACGCTTCTCATCCAGACGCGGCATTGCTCACACCTTACACTCCGACTGCGGCACCATTTTCATCGGCGCGGATGCAGCTCTCAAAAGGCTGTTTATCCAGAGCACTCAAGAACATCATCGAGTTTCTCACCTGCTCTCGCAAGACAACACCCGATGGGAATTTAC